ACACGGAGCAGAATCACCCCGAGGGATCACGGTGAGGAAGCGCAGGGTCGTGTAAAGGAGGTGGAGCACGCGAACCACCCCCACGAAGGAGAGAATCAGCGAGCTGATGGTCACCAAAGTAAACCCAGAGAAACCTTAAGCCAAATGCCTTGAGCCAAAATGGCTACGGGGGGTTTAGGGTTTAGGGTTTAGGGTTCAGGGTTTAGGGCTCGGCTTTCAACAAAAACTCGGAAACAAAGCGGCGCAAAGGTCGAAACAACGATGTAAACAAGCTGAGTAAGCCGTGTACATAGCAGCACGGCACGCCCGCGACGCTACAACCTCGCCATGTCCGAGCCGAAGGCTAGCGGCTAGCATGACTACCCTAAACCATAAACCTTGAAACATACAAAGTCCTCCTAATATAGGAGCCGTAATAATTAGAATAGGGTTTTTGGGCCCCTTGTACTATAGTTAAAATAAAGGAACCCCACAATAGTATAGATCATGATTTTGGCCACTACATTAAGCCCATCCAGGACACGATGTTCGGCCTCTCTCTTCGTGAGCGAGAGACCGGTCCAATCTCGCGAAGGGCGAGCAGCGATCGGAAGGATGGCCCAGTTGTCCGCGAACTCAACATTTCCAGGCAGGCCCGTCCTGCCCAAAGTGAGTTTCAGAAGCTTTCATAGCAAGGGGTTCGACTAAGGGTTTTGGAAGTTTTATGAGCGTTCTTTGTTCGTCGGGGCTTGGGGGTTTAGACGAATTTGAAGTTCAGGGGCCCCGTTCTGGGTTTAGGGTTTAGGGGGAAGGTGGGGTTTGAGGCCTCAGGGCTTGGTGGTTCTAGGGTTTACATGCTGTTGGGCTTACTCAACGCATAATGGCTTGGGACTTGCGTGTGCGAGATAAGTTCGGAGGGTTGGGGGTGTGGGTTTAGGGTTTAGGGTTTAGGGCTTAGGGGTTTAGGGTTTAGGGGTTTATGGGTTTAGGGGTTTAGGGTTTAGGGGTTTAGGGGTTTTGGGATTTAGGGGTTTAGGGTTTAGGGTTTAGGCTTAAGAGCCAGGAGGTAAGGTCTAATTCCGGGCGTAAGACAAGGGTCAACGTAGGTACCAAGATCCTACGCCTTAGGATTTCAAGTATGAGTTATCATAGCACACTATACCACAAAACCCTAAACCCTAAACCCTAAACCCTAAACCCTAAACCCTAAACCCTAAACCCTAAACCAAACCCTTCTATAATTATCAGGGCAGGCTGTGGGGGCCGGGCCGTCCTGCCCAAAGCACTGTGACAGCTGCGAAGGCGAGCAAGCCCGGCGCCAGCATTTCTCGCGCCATCCCCAAGTTAGCACTTAACACTCGTGCCTGTCCAAAAAGGGGTTTTCGGGTTTAGGGTTTAGGGTTCAGGGGTTTAGGGGTTTAGAGGTTTAGGGGTTTAGAGGTTTAGAGGTTTAGAGGTTTAGGGGTTTAGAGGTTTAGGGTTTGGCGTACTTCCGCCTCAACCTTTGTCGGGTTGCAGGCGAACCAAACAGTTAGAACCCCATAAGCCTGACCATAAACAGTCTGAGCCGAAGGCTTTATAATGTCTCTGACATGCTGAGACCCAAAATTTTTACGATTGCAACGCGTTGCCGAACCCTGAACCCTCAAACCAGCTTGCGGTCCAAACCTCGTCGGAAAGCACACTTTGGGGCCCCTAAACCCTCAACCCTACACCCTAAACCCTAGTCTGGGGTGCTCTTCTAGGATCTTCAGTAGTCCCTGCACCCCGGAGCCCGACAAAATCCTAAATCCTAAACCATCCAAAACCCTACACCGGATCTTACAACCCGAAAAGCCAGAACCGAAAGCCAGTTTTGAGCCCCGGCGATTCCTTTACACTCTTCCGCAGTTAGAATAAGGTTTTTTGAACGGGTTGTACCAGGGCTACAACAAGGCTCCTGACATAGGGTAGCCGGGCACTTTATAGTATAATTGTATGGCGATTTCAATGGGGACACTATCAGCAACTACTCCGACCCGTATTATAACCAAATCGCCAAGTTTAAACGCCTTCTATCACGCGCATCAACCTAAACCCGAAACCCTATATATCCTGAACCGGACTTGCTTTGAGATTAAGGATCGGAGCCTTGCCGTGAGGTCATGGGGCCTACAACCCTGAAGACCAGAAAAAATGATGAACAAAGCACCTGAAATCCTGTAACATCCTGTAACTGCTCCAACGGCCTAGTGGAACTATACAGGCCCCGATACTGTGGTAAAGAGAGCAGCGAAACCGTCAACCCAAGAGCGACCCGGAAATCCGAGGTCCAACCCGCCGCTTCCACCTTGGCGGTGAAAAGCTCCTTCACCGCGCATGCTGAGTGCCTCAATTAGGGTTTAGGGGTTTAGGGGTTTAGGGGTCTAGGGTTCAGGGTTTAAGGGTCTAGGGTTTAGGGGAAGTTGGGTTTTGGGCCTCAGGCTGGCTGTAGTTGGGGCTTGGGATTAGGTCCGGTTTCGGGGGGAGCTTTAAGTTTGGCACGGTTTAAGACTTATCTAGGGTTCTGGGAGTCTTATCGACATGCACATGGGTGGATAGATGCGCGTAGACGGTTCCTCCATGGTTTAGGGTCTAAGGTTCTCATTAGGCTCGTGCGGCTCATCCACATAATGCAGGGGCCTTAATAATTAGAATAGGTGAATAGGGGTTTAGGGGTTCCTTATTATAGTTCTAGTATAAGATACCCCCAAATCCTATTCTAATTTTTAAGGCCCCCACATTACTCGTTGCCACATTACTCGATGCCAGCTTTGTTTAGGCTCTCGCAGACTTGCTCCTCCATAGCTTTCCCATCGCACAAATGAACGTATCGCCCGTCTTGACACCCAAGCCTGCGAAAGAAACTGCCCCCTTTTAACACACAGCCGTCGTTGCGCTTGACAGAGGGGAGGAGCCCGGCAACCTGGTTGTCAAGATGCGACTGTCCTTCATCGTTCTCACTGCATCGAAACGCAGATGCGCTCAAGTTCATCGCGAAACTGTCCTGGGCGAGGAGGTCGCCATTGCCGCTCACCACGCAGACAGTGACTTTGAGTTCTGCAGTGTAAGTTCATACGTTCGTGAAAATGAGTTCACCTCCACTGTCTGACCATCAAGCCTGTGCTCGACAGGCGCGTCGCTCACACAAAAGCATGGCATTCTCGCGACTATCCCTACAGCCACGATGAAAGCCCTGCAACTTCTCGCAGAGTGTGTACACATCGTAGAATGCAGCCCTAAATCCCAACACCCGTAAGCCATATAACCTCATGGACTTGGAGGAGCTTCATCATCTAAGAACTCCGCTCCACCAGTCTCCCAAGATCCCTAAACCATAAACCCTACAGTTTGGGGTTTAGGGGTTTACGGTTTAAGGGTGTCGGGTTTCGGGTTTGAGGGCTTCGGACGTCCTAAACACCCGCAAACCCACACTTGCGGGGCGCAGGTAAAGGATCAAATGGCCTCACCCAAGCACATGCATTCGGAAGCCCGGTGCTAGTTTGAGACAAGCCTAGAATTCAGGGTATGGGTTTAATTTAGGATTTAGGGTTTATGATCCCTCGTGGCTGCTCTGTAGCCGCAATCCCTCAACCCTTATATTTATAGCCTGTTCCAGGCAACAATTTAAAGCCATCCCTTCTCGCCGTATCTCACAGCTAACTCATAACTCACTACATCTGCTCAACCATGCCGGTACCAATGCACCCTAAACTTCCCAATCCCTGAACATCTGAGATTGAAGTTAAAAACAACTCGGCAAGTGCGGCTCGGTGCTTAGGGTTTAGCGCTTAGTATGGCTGCAGGTGGAAGTACCTACAGACAAGGGCGTTCTGTAGCCCCAACTGATGTACAGACGGCCTTACTTGCTAAAACCTTAATCCTATAGAGGGTCTTGGTGATTAGAGCAAGATTTTTTGAAGGGGGTGATATTATATATGTTATATGTAACTATAGTAGGACTGAAAGGACACTCGCCCCACAACCACGGAGCACACAATCCCAAATAGGGAAGGCAAGTCTTCGGAGAACCTTTAACCATCGCCATTTGAGCTCCATTTCGAAGGCCCTCAACCTGATCTGATCCCCACCAATTCCAGAATCACCTCAATTTGAAACTCATAATAGGTTTAAGGTTTAGGGTTTGAGGTTTCCATATCAAACCCATCTCCGACCCTAATAAAACCTATATACAACCCTTGAAAAACGACGGAGCCCTTATGCATGTTCTGGAGGACCTCCATAGGTTTTACTGCTTGCTTGTATGGTGGCTCTTTAAGGGATGGGTTATCGTGCTTACGGTTTGGTTTTAGGAAAGCCCCTGCAAAAGCACACGAGGACTTGCCAACCAGCAAAGGCCAAGTGGCAGGACAAGCAGTGGCAAAAGTGAGCGAATGTATGCCATGGCCTTGGCACCCCGGAGACCCTAAACCCTGAACCCCTTCACCGAAAACCCTAGACCAAGGGCTTGTGAGCTGGCTTTGAGATCCTCGACGTGCGGGGCTCGGGAGCATTTGGTGATCTAAGCCATTCAGAACCCATGGCGCAAGGCCAAAGTTCTCGGGCTCCAACCCCCGAAATCTGAGGGTTCCAAGGCGTTCTCTCGTGGGTCGGAGGGATGGTCTCGTGTTTTCTGGGAGTTAAGATTAGGGTTTAAGGTTTACAATTTAGAGTTTAGGCGCCTTCAGGGTTTAGGGTTTAGGGACCCTTAAGGATATAGACCCTCTCAATAGGGTCCCATTCAAGAGAGCTAGAAGAAGGGTTAAGCAGGGTCCCCTTTAAGGGGCCTCCATAATACTAGCCAGGATTTTCGAGCCCAAGAGAAGAGGAAGAGTTGAGGTTTCAGGTTTGAAGGTTGAGAGCTTAGGGTTTAAAGTTTCAGGAGGAGCTTAAGGGTTTGGCTTTAGAGTTGAAGTTTGGGGATTGAAGGTGGAGGGTTTCAGTTGAGGGTTAGAATTCCGGAAAGGGACGTCGTTGCAGCGCACTCGAGCGCAGGGGACGCCGGCTCATCATATCTTGACTGCCATGCAAGCATAAACTTTCTATCAAAAACCTAGGAAGTCACCATAAATATGGGGCCCCCAGGGCGTCCTACCCTCTAGAATTTGGGGTTTAGGGCTTCCAGGGTAGAGGGAGAGAATTCAGGGTTCAGGGTTGAGGGGATTTTAATTCACAGCTTCGTTGGGATTGCAAACTAAGGTCTCTTGTTGAAATGCCTCTTGTCTGGGGACCACTTCAAGGCAAGGAAACCGGCTGCTGAGGCTCTCGTATACCCGAACACGCCGCCGAAAGCAATAGGACGGGTAATATAGGGTCCCAAGATTTAGAATAAGGTTTTGGGGCCCATTAAACAGTATTTGTAATGAGGAGCCCCCAAAGTAATCTTGGTAAATATTTAGGCCCTATGTTAGTACAATATCGCAATACAGGCTTCCACCAACTTCACTGGACCACGCAAAACCCTGAACTACACAAGTAGCCGAAAGATGGAAGCTCCTTGTACAACCACATTGCAAATCCTCCAAGAACCACTTCACCAACAGTTTCTGCTGCGCGTCCTGCGGCTGCTGCAGCGCATAAGCCGTGGCCCGGAAGCTCATGTTCGAGACCAGACCGCGGGCATGCGGCGGCGTGTCCAGGCCCAGGGAGAACCGCTTAAACGCCAGGCCTCGACGAGCAGATGAGCAGGCCGAGTTGTTGCCAGAGTGCTATGAGACAAAGGCTTAACCATGAAAGCTTTGCAGCCAAGACGGTCGACGACTGACGGCCACATGGTCTGAGTCTTGACGTCCTCCAAACCATGAAGCGCCTGGCGTTCAACGTCCTTCCGACCGCCACAAAAGCTTCATGCTCGCGGTTCCCACGGACGTATGTCACGAAGCAAGATCAACCACATCCACGTCGCTGCAACCACCACAGGTCCTTCCAGTTGCGCTTATCCATCCAGGGCTTCGTGAAGCGCAAGAACTCCACCAACTCCGGCTGCGTGGTGATGCAAGTCTCGTCGCCATCCATGTCGCCTGACGCCCCTCACTTGCAACGCCTCACGACATGCCTCTAAATCCAACACCCTGCACCTTGTTACCAGACCCTGCCAAGTCACCGCCAGCCAGGAGCGTGTTCATGAATCCCTCCGGAGACAAAATCACGCAGTTCTCCGGAAAGGGCCCCATGTCCTGGCCACAGAATTTTTATGTTCCGACGAACACGACAACGTTCGTCTGCGGTTTATCGTCCGGAAACTTGAGCTCAAGACGGTATCTGTATATTGGGCACGGTCCTCTGTCCGGAAAACGAAAACAAACAT